ATAATGGATAGGAATATAATAGAAGATTCTTCGATTCATGAAAATATAGAGTCTTCGAAAAGATTTAATTTAACATACAGTAATATATAATAATCCTGATTAAGACGCACAAATTAATATTTCTGCTACATATATCGATATCGGTATAAGAATATGTTTACAGAATTATTCATCTAACAAAGGAGAAGAAATCATTTTATTTTGAATAATACAATAATAAATTTGAAATGTATATATTTATTATATAAATAAGTATTCTTTTTAAAATTACAATATTTTTTTTTCATCGTATGCATAAACGTATAGTTAAAATTTTATATATACGAATTCCCAAATGTATAATGTTTCAGAATTATATTTATGCTTCAATGGATGGTTTTATTATTATGTCTTACTATTTCATTTTAATATTTTAGAATATTATTCTTTTGATGCATAAGTAACATGTTTTTTTTGTTACATATACTAATGTGTTGTGATGATGAACACAATAAAAATACATTATATGATAATAATTTACCTATATATATAATATTATCTAATCTTTTTTATTAATATTTACTGAATATTGTGGTGTTACTAGAATAATATCGTAAATACATCAGTTCAAGTTCGTCTTATATATTTGACGCATGCAATGATAAATATGTAGTTATATAATCTGATTATAAATCATGACAAAATTATCATCAATTTTATATACAATTATTTTTAATATTAATATATTTATCATTGCTATTTTTTTTTACATTCAAAAATTTTAATGCACATTTATTATGAAAAAGAAAATAAACAATTTATATACAGATATGTCTAGTTATTTTTAATAATATTTTTAAAAAATATGACTATTAGTATAACTATTCCTCATTTTATACACAATGCAAAACAGTATATTTTTAAAATTTTATTAAAATTATTAAAGATATTTATAATAAATTGCCTATTAATATACAAATAATTTTTGCGTAATATTTCAAATTTCTAGATATGATTTTTGCATATAAATTTTTGTCTAATTTATCATCTCCGATGATAAATAAATTCCATGAATTTTTTTTTCTGAAGTATAAATTCTAGTGTTTACAGAACACATATTTATGTACATATATATGAATACTCGTTTGTTAAATATTTTTTTCTTATATTTTTTATGAATATCCGAATATTAATTGGTATTATGTATTTAATAATATATATATGATTTATTATTTGTAAATCAAAAGAAATAACTGAGTTCTTGTATTATCTATCGCATTATAACATGTGTCAAAACAATATAATGTTGTTTTCATATATCTATTATTTTTTTTTTTTTTTTTTGTTATTCTTAGTTATTAATAATTTTATATGATTTTATTTGTTAATAATTATGTAATATAAAAAAACTACAAATGGGAATATAATTCCTATATTACATATTTATATCTATTGGAAATGCTTATGGAAGAGATATATTTAGAGCTTTATTTAAAAGTTCTAGTTTATAAGAACAAAATTAATATTAAATTGAAAAAAATAGCACACTATAAAAAATATAAGCATATGAATGCCTGGTATAAAATATATATACACTGAGGTTCTGTGTATTACAAATATTTTTAGTACAGTAAATTCTATAATTAAAAAAAAAATTATGAAAAAGCAAATAAGATGTACATTTATAGGCGTAAAATATGGCTGAAATATTGAGGTATAATTATATACAAAAGGTATTAAGTTAAATAATTATCATAATTCCACTATATTTCAGTGTTCTCATAAATTTGGCATTGGGAACACTTTTAGCATTATATATCTTTGAATGCTTATTTGAGGATTAGGCAATTCTAGGTGTTAAGAACCTTCAAAATTAATAGTATTTAATGTGTTCAATTGAATATTATGAAGTATACATATTATGTTTTTTATAAAAAGTAATATAATAATATAATTATAACGCTTTAATGAGATATGAATTATCGTTTTAAGAATATATAAGTATTATATTTTTTTTCAGAATATTTTGTGTATGCTTTATTTAAAATAGTATTAAAATTTCATTTTTAATATATGCAGAAATATTTAAATTAATATAGAAATTTTTCAATCGCATGAGCAAGTATATTACTCAAATAAATTGATTTTTTTAACATTAAAGCATAATTATAAGGATTTATAATCCATGTTATTTTACGGATACATGAATTTATAAGAATAATTCGATATAAAAAGATTCTAATTCAGCGCTTTTTTCTATTTATTTTTTTGGTATAAAATATTTGTTCATATTGTGCATAGCGTTGAAAGATAATTCATTGAGTTATTTGTAGAGTGTTTATTTCAAATTCATTCTTACATCAGATATAATAAACATATATTGAGTGTTAAAATGATAACTTAAGTAAAATATTAATGTATTAAATTTAATTCTCAATATTTTTAAAT